GAGGCAGGCAGCCGCCGGGGGCAGCGCGCGCCGCCCGCGCCGTGCGGCAAATCCCCCAGGGAGGCCGCCGCCAGAGCCCTGACGCTCCCGGCCCGGCGCCCGCCACGTGGCACCCGGCGGCGGCGGCGGCGACTCCTCCCGGCGCGCGGCCCGGCCAGCCGGCAGCACGCAGTCGCCCGTCTCTTCCCCGCCGTCCGCCGGCGGCCTCCTGGATGCAGCGAGGGACCCGGGGAAGGGGCGGGCGGGCGGGCGGGCGGGCGGGCGGCGCGAAGCCTCTGTAACCACAGCCGCTGAGCGGAGGCAGGAGGCTGACCCAGCCGCTTCCTAAGTGCGGTCAGGCATCTCGTGACCGCGGCGGCAGCCCGGGTCCCTCCCCCGCTGCAGTCGCCGGGGAGGTTTCGGCCGCGCTCAAACCCCAAGATCAGAGTCCGGGCAGGCTTGCTTGGGGTTGGAGGGGAGGGGGTCACGAATTCCCTGCTCGCCACCCGTGGGCGAGCGTTGCCCCACCCGGAAGGGCTGACCTTGGCCAGGGGGGCGGGAGGAGGCTAGCACGGGGCCCGGACCCGACCCTCCACCCCCATCCCACGGATTCCTGGCTGGCCGGGGCCGGAGGAGGGCCCCCCCCCCGGACACACACACACATACTCATACACGACACACACACACCCCACACGCAGCGCGCGCCAATGAGCCCAGGCCAGGCGCAGGGGGCGGGGTTTTCCCAGGCTCGAGCACAGCAGCTGCTATTTACCTTCTTGGCTTCTCCCGGGGACTAGAGCCGGCCCCCGTTCCCGGCCGCCCGCCGCCGGCCCCCGCCTCCCTGCCCCCAGGGCGCGCGCACACACACACTCACACACGCACGACACACACATCCTCTGGGTCCGGCCGCAGCCGCAGCGGCAATAAAACATCCTGGCACGTGCTCCGACTCCAGGCGCGCCCTCGCCGGCCGGCTGATGTCAAACTGCAGCTCGGCTGGTGGAGCTCTTAAAGGGCTCGCACGCCAGGCGCAGAGGCCGTCTATGGCCGCCCGCAGGGCGAGGAGGGGAGAGGCCGGCTCCCTGCTCGCCGCCCGTTCCTACTGCCAACCGAGAGCCTGCGGGGGAGAAAGGTATAGAGTGGCGAAGGAGCGCGCGCGCCCCTTTAGCATTGCTATCAAAGCCCCTCTTGTTCATCTTTCATTTGAAATTCCATTTCCTTTCTGCCCAGTAGGAAATTATTCTGATTGTTTCCTGGAGAAGCGTGAGGTCCAATGCCCCATTCCCAGGAGAGCAAAAAGAAGCGGGCTTGGGGGCGGGAGACAGGCATCCAAAAGCCACTTTGCCCCGAAAAACCTGCCTGTGAAGACATTTCTCTTTTGGGGGTGGGGTAGGGGTGAGGGAGTGAATAGTTTGGGGGTTGGTATTGTTTCCCCCTACAGGAGCAGTTTTCACTCCCCTGAGCATACAGAATTAGAGAGGGAGTTCACTTTAGGTGTTAGAGTAACACACCCTTGCACGCGAGTTCCCTCGTTTTTAATTCACTAAATTCTGCCTTGGTCTATATTTTCCCAAAACTGTTTTTCAAATGAACTTATTATACAAAGAGCTTATATTGCACGTGGCAAAGACAATAAAAATCCAAAGACATGGCCACAAAAGAAATAGACTGCACCAAAGCCAGGGCGGAAAAGTCCTCTCTAAAGCAAAGCGCAAAGAGGCAGCAAAGGGTTAAAATCCTTTTGATTGACGTTGTAGCCTCCGGTGCCCCGGGCTCAGGCGCGCGCCATTGGCCGCCAGACCTTGTGCCTGGCGGCCAATGGGGGGGCGCAGTCCACGAGCGGTGCCGCGTGTCTCTTCCTCCCATTGGCTGAAAGTTACTGTGGGAAAGAAAGTTTGGGAAGTTTCACACGAGCCGTTCGCGTGCAGTCCCAGATATATATAGAGGCCGCCAGGGCCTGCAGATCATACAGGATCTGGAGCTGGTGCTGATAACAGCGGAATCCCCCCGTCTACCTCTCTCCTTGGTCCTGGAATAGCGCTACCGATCACTAAATAGCCCTAAGACATACTAAACCCTCAGCTGCTTAGTAGTTTTTCTTAAGAAAATCAAGTTAAAAGGGCATAAGCAAAAAATAATATAATTTTTTGCGTGAAGGATTCCAAAAATACAATTCTCTGGGGACTGAGAAGAAAGAAAAAAAAAAAAAAAGAAAGAAAATGCCAGCTGATATAATGGAGAAAAATTCCTCGTCCCCGGTGGCTGCTACCCCAGCCAGTGTCAACACGACACCGGACAAACCAAAGACCGCCTCTGAGCACAGAAAGGTAAGCCAGTACCTGTGTCTCTCTGAAGCTCCTAGAAATTAAGTGGGTTGAGCGCGAAGAGGCTCCTTTTACTTTCCCCTCTTAAAACCTCGGGGTTACATGGCGGATCCCAAGGGAACTCAACCCCCATCTCCGCTTTTTTCCCCCCTTTGCAGTCATCAAAGCCTATCATGGAGAAGAGGCGAAGAGCAAGAATAAACGAAAGTCTGAGCCAGCTGAAAACACTGATTTTGGATGCACTTAAGAAAGATGTAAGTGAGCAATGCTTTATTACTATTATTTTTATTATTACGAATGCAGTGGTATTTCTCAGGCACAAAGAATGTAACTCTTCGCCTGCTGTGTGAGGATCTCACCCCGCCAGCACAGCCTTCCCCTAAGCGGGAGGGAGGTCCGGGCCTCTCCCGCAGGGCCCTGGGATGTGGGACTTGCGGGCGGGGTTGGGGACCTTCAGAGCAAGAAGCAGTTGACAAGCGTGGGGGTCTCACTTTCTTCCCTTATTTCCTCTGCGTAGAGCTCCCGGCATTCCAAGCTGGAGAAGGCAGACATTCTGGAAATGACAGTGAAGCACCTCCGGAACCTGCAGCGGGCGCAGATGACCGGTGAGGACCGCGCGTGCGTCCCCTCTCTGCGGGTGTCCCTCTCCGCCCGCAGTGATTTCTTCCAGACTTCCGCCCGCGGTTGTGAGAGGCATTCAGCTACATTTTACTGCCTTGGCTCACTCCGCGTTCCCCACGGTCTGGGTCTTATTTATAGCCACAACTCCCAAGTTGTTACTGCTCCGGAAAGGGAGGGGAGAGGTTGTAGCCGAGAGGGTGGTGGGCGGCTTGGCTGTGGTGGCAGCTGGTGAGGACGAAGGGACGTAGGACTACGGCGGTTTGGGGCTGGAGAGAAGCTAGGGGTCACTGGCTTAGCACCCGTCCAACCGCTGCCACAAGGAGGGGAAGTGGGACTTAGAAGGCGCCTTGGGTGGCATTGCCCAAGGTCACGTCGCGCGCGGGGCTAGAGGTGGCAGATCTGGAGCTGAGGTCGGTTTAAATGGAGGGAGTGTCCTGGCTTAAGTCGCCAACCCAGAGAAAGGGAGCTGGGTTCTTAGTCTACCCCACCCTCCCAACCCCAGGTGGTTCCGGAGGCTCGCAGCGGGGGACCTCCCAGGGCGGGAGGCAGTGGCCCCCAGGGCCAGGGCTGTTCGGTGACCCGTCCTTTCTCCTTCTGGTCTGCAGCCGCGCTCAGCACAGACCCGAGCGTGTTGGGGAAGTACCGCGCCGGCTTCAGCGAGTGCATGAACGAGGTGACCCGCTTCCTGTCCACGTGTGAGGGCGTTAACACCGAGGTGCGCACTCGGTTGCTGGGCCACCTGGCCAACTGCATGACCCAGATCAACGCCATGACCTACCCCGGGCAGCCGCACCCAGCCTTGCAGGCGCCGCCGCCACCCCCGTCAGGACCCAGCGGCCCCCAGCACGCGCCGTACGCGCCGCCGCCACCGCTTGTGCCCATCCCCGGGGGCGCGGCGCCCCCTCCCGGCAGCGCACCCTGCAAGTTGGGCAGCCAGGCTGGAGAGGCTGCCAAGGTTTTTGGTGGCTTCCAGGTGGTGCCGGCTCCTGATGGCCAATTTGCCTTCCTCATCCCCAACGGGGCCTTCGCCCATAGCGGCCCGGTCATCCCGGTCTACACCAGCAACAGCGGCACCTCGGTTGGTCCTAACGCAGTGTCTCCTTCCAGCGGTTCCTCGCTCACTGCGGACTCCATGTGGAGACCCTGGCGGAACTGAGGGGGCTCAGGCCATTGCTCACCCTAAACTCCCTAGCCCACCTCTCCCAACGGACACTAAAAACGACTTGGATATTAGGAGAAAAGACTTTTATAATTTGGTGGCTACTTTGTTGCTTTTTTTAATTTCTAAAAAGTTACTTTTTGTAGAGAGCTGTATTAAGTGACTGACCATGCACTGCATTTGTATATATTTTATATGTTCATATTGGATTGCGCCTTTGTATTATAAAAGTTGAGATGACATTTCGTTTTTTACACGAGATTTCTTTTTTATGTGATGCCAAAGATGTTTGAAAATGCTCTTAAAATATCTTCCTTTGGGGAAGTTTATTGGAGAAAGTATAATAAAAGAGTGAAGGCTTTTATGTCTTAGAACTGGTTATTTCAAAAATTGTAAAAGGAGTATCTTGAAATTCATTTACATGTAGTCTGGGAACCCAGAAATAGAATTTAAAATATATTAATAATGTTTTAAACAGAAACCATCAAACCTTTTTCACCAATACTCCACAAACTAAAAAGACCTAATTTATGAAAATTCATTTGATGGGGCTAAAGGACTGCAAAAAAAAACATAATTTAAAAAAGAAAGAAAAATGTTTAAAGACAAATTCCTTATTTTATGCCTTCTGAAAGGTAGTTATGGGCAACTCTGACTTAACTAACTCCCTGGGGTAGCCACAAACCTCCTAAGCCACTGCAGCCTTCCTCCTCGAGTGTTAGGATCTTCATTAGCCCATCCTTAGGTGCAGCTGCGCATCCCCTAGTACTCAGGGCACAAAGCTTTAACTACCTCTCTGCACCCTCTTCAAGCAAGCTGAAAAGGTCAACAGATTCCCTCTGCCATGGGACAGCTAGTTAGACTCCCAAGTGGAGCCCGGGCCAGATGATTAACAGCAGACATGTGTTTCTGATAAGTTTCTGTGCTTGACTTTAATGGAGAAAGCATGTGGGGGCCGCGCTGGCAGGCACACAGGCCGTTTTCCCCCTTTTAATACAAACAGCAAGCGACCCCTTCGCTTGGTCATGCCCCATTTCCAGGCAAGATGTGGGCTCCAGATAGAAGCAAAAGGGTTGTCTCGGGTTTCAGCTCACACAACCCTCCTTAACAAGTCCTAACTCAAAGCGGACAGCTTTAAACTGTGCCAGGATCTGCAGGGAATTTCTTCCAAATCCCATCACAAAGGCTTGTCAGATTTTGTCAGATTTGGCCAGGTGTTTGACTGCATCCAGGTGTTGGGAAAATGAAAACCACGAGCCCTGCGAGACCAGACACATCAGCCGCGCTGTGGGTCTGGCCGGCGCGCCCTTCCTCCCCCCACCGCCGGGCAGTCCTCCTCCCAGCCCCCGCCCCGCCCGCCTGCCCGCCCGCCCGCCTCTCACCCCCTCCCCCTTTCCCTACTGCGGCTTCTGGGAGAAGGATGAGGCGGGAGAGATCAATCTTTGAAGCTTTCCTAACAAAGATAAAGCCAACGATTTTCTGTCTTGTTTCAAAAGCCTTACCTCTCCCCCGCCTGGCTCCAGCCTTTCCCACAGGCCAGTGTGGAGTGCGGCTCTACCACAGGGGTGACCTAGCAGACAGCAGTCGGCTCTTTCCAATACCTTCAGCCTCGACCCCTGGAGAGAGAGGTTTAAAACATCATATTGAAAATTTGGCTCCTATTTGCCTTATTTTGTGTACAGGAAAGGTGTCTAACACACCCTTTACCAAAGAAACACACACATCCTTCTTTGACATTCCATTTGTTTTTCGTTTTCTCTTTTGTTTAAACATAAATGTAGTAAAAATTGCTCCATTAAGACACCCATCCCAAACTCAAATACTAAAATCTGGTAAACCCAGTCCTCTGTCCCCACCAAGAGTTCTTAGCTTCTTTGGTAGAAATAATCCAGACATTAGAATTTCAATTTTATAAAAGTAATTCCTTTACATTAGTCTTTAACATTTACAGGGCCGAGAAGGGGTGGGGGCGGAAACTAAAAAGAAAACTTCAATTTCTTCATGCATCTTTATTAATGTTACCAAAGTATACACAGCATCACTAAAAGACACTAAGAAAGTTAGAGAAACAGAAACCACTGTTTGTTCTTTGAAAAGAGGGGCCTCCCCCAACCCTAATTTGGGTGTACATTATTAGATGACGCCTTTTCAGTACAATATGGGATGGAAGAAAGACTATGTCTATCTGGGAACAGTCGTGTTCTTGAAAGTCGCTGAACTCATGCATCCCCTTGGATAAGTCATTTCCCTTCTCTAGGACAGGTCCAAGTTCATAAACTGACTAGATTTATTTCTCAGACACTGCTGCCTCCAGCATCCCTGCTGTTTCTTAAATAAGTAGCTGGGGGAGAGGTGAAGCACCGCAGTTTGTTCTGTCCTCCCTGCAGGTCCTCCGGGTCTGGCCTAATTATACCGCCTCAGGGCACACCCAGCTGCCTGGGCCCCTCTACCAGCTCCTGCAGGGCTGATCTCTCCAGCGATAAAGCACATCTCCAAACTCTGTCCTTGAGGCCAAGGGCTTAGGAAGCCTCTCCTAGGAGACTCTCGGGGCCTCGGCTCTCCTGAGGTCTCTAACATCATCCCGAGAAGTGAGGGCCTGAGCCTGATTGAGCAACTGAAGCTCGCCCCCTCCTCGGGTCTCATCCCTCCCCACCCCCACGCGTTTTTGCAGTGGGGACCCAGAGGTTTAACTGGACCCCCTCATCGTCACCGGGAACCTGTCATTAAAGTCAATTAACTTTCCCCACACCCTTTGGCCGGTAACAACCCGCCGCTAGCTTCCTCCGGGCTCCTAAGTGCAACCAGATGGGCGGGCGAAGTGCCCCCGCCGCGAGCCCGCCCGCCCCGGGTGGCTCGGGGTTCCTGGGAGGCCTCGGGGACCGCGGCCGGGCGGGGAGCGGCCCAGGGCGGCCACACCGGCCAGCCCCGGCGGCCCTGCGGCCAAGGTGGCTCGCTCAGCAGGCCCGGCTGCTTTCTGGCAGGAAATGAATAGCTCCCAGATGAGCTCAGGCAACCTGAGAGGTCGTGAGAACGGCGCGAACCCCCGCCTGTGCAGCCGGCAGCCTGCCAGGCCGCGGGGAGGGCGGGCGGCGGCGGCGGGAGGCCCGGCGGGCGGCGGCGGGGGCGGCGAGGGGCGGGAGCCGCTGACACACGAGCCCGCGCCCGCTCCCGCTGACAGGCAGGCCGCCGCCCCCGCTTCCCCGCCCCAGGCCAGCACCGCCCAGGCAGCAGGCCCCAGCCGCAGAGCCGCGGCCGCCCGGCCCGCCGAGGGCGGCCTGGGGGTGGGGCGGCCTGCCAGTGTTTTTCCAGTTCCCCCGGTAGCTCCGGGCCGCGTTTAGAAGCCGGAGAACTGGGCGGAGGCCAGGATCGGGGCACCGGAGGCCGGCAGAGCTCCGCCAGGAGTCAGGCTGGCCGGGCAGGAGAGGGCAGGCAGGGGCCACCTCGCCCCCCCCCCCCCCCCCCCCCGCCAAATGCCTTGCACCGGACTGGGATGCTTGCTGGGCGTCCAGAGAAAGGGAGTTTCGGTTCTAAGCACCTTGAGCTCCCAATAGGCTCCCCGCAGTCTGCAGCTGGCACTAAGATGACAACCCTGGTGGCGACACAACCCTGTTTAGCCTCCGAGACAGACCCGCTAGTGACTCATCCCACGCGTGATGTGTTAGGTGCCAGGACTGAAGTTTAAACAGAGGGCGCCCAGACAGATGAGGTCTTACTGGCGAGGAAACTAGGGAAGTTTTTTTCCCTTGAAGCAAGGAGGTGAAAAACTCAACACGAGGAAAGTCAGGTGCTGGGTGTCCCCGAGTGTGTCATGCTGTTGTCTGGCGCGGGCTTGACGAGCTGGAGACTGCTGCTGTCTGCCTGGAGGGCAGGGTTTGATTGTCCTAATTTCTCTAATAAAACGGTTTAACTTAGAAGAAGAGGAGGAGGAAGGAAGGAGACAAGTGTGGTGGCATTCTCCAACAATCCCTTCGAGGCACTTGGGAGGTGGAGGAGAAGGGGGGAGGGGTTCAAGGCCATTTTCAGATAAGTAGTCCAGGCTAGCCTGGGCTACCTGACACACCAAAAATGGAGTTATGTTGGTTAAAGAAAACACAGAAACAGTTAAAATGTAGGTGTAGATGGGGAGATTTTAATTTTACTATCACTCTTGCATTTAAAAATTTAAATACAAGGTTTGCACACGACCAGAGAGGGGGAAGGGTAGCCTTACTTCCCTGTCTCTGTTCTTGCTTTACTGAATGAAACATAGCCATTGGGTTGAAAGCGCATGATCTGTGTCTGTTTGAGTTCAGGTCAAATCATCCAATCTGTTTGTGCTGTGCGTTTTGTTTTGGTTGTTGTTTTGTTTTCTGAAATACCTTACTATTTTACCCAGCTGGCTTCCAATTCCTCAGGCCGCCATCCTCCTACCTCAGCCTCCCCAGGAGCTGGGACTATCGGCCAGTACCATGGCACTAGCTTGGTGTCTCAATTTGGTTAAGTTCCATGTATAGGTAAAAAAGTTCATGAAGGCAGTGTATCAGAGAGCTGTGAGGGCAAGGTGAGTAAATGCAACTGAAGCCTCTAGAATAGTGTTCCATGAGAAAGCCCATAGTGTGTGTCAGCCATTGTGCTGCCCAAACAGCCACAGCAAGTGTATTATTCACCAGGTAGGAAAGCTAACCGTGGCCTTTAGTCATCTTAGCATCTACTTGTCATTGTACCAGACCGTGAGAGAGACCACAATTTCTTCCATTGTTTCTAAAGCTCATGCACTGGTTCCATAGTTATTGAACCAGGTTCATAAGGAATAAAGGCATGCTTTCTATAGCCAAAACACAGCCTGGCTGGCAAGAGACTTGGATGCAAAATAAATAAATAATTGAACTCATTGCATGTCAAATAATGTGAAAGGGGACATGTTATTTGGCACTAGTACAAAGAGCATAGTCAACACTGTCAAGGGAAGGGACTGAGAGTCAGGAAATGTGGCTTCAAGTATCAAGTTCGTCACTTCCTACGATATGCTGAGGGGGCTCAACTTAAGATTCTGAGGTCTACTTTCCCAACCAGCAAGGTGAGCAGGCTATATACATCAGGGATCATCTGAAGTCCTTCCAAATCCACAGCCCTGACAGGGCATGCACGAGGCAAACTTCAGGGCTTTCAGCCAAGGCCTCGACACACACACCACACACACACACACACACACACACTCTGGCCTCAAGGATGGACCCTGTAACTCACCATTATTAAAAGAAAGAAAGAAAGAAAGAAAGAAAGAAAGAAAGAAAGAAAGGAAAAAGAAAAAGAAAGACTGCTATACTTTACATTCTTGGAAACATGACATGATAGTAAGACTCATTTAGCCATATGGCTCTCAACCTGTGGGTCACCATTTGGAGTTGAAATGACCATTTCAGAGGGGTTGCCTAACACCATTGGGAAACACCAGCCCCTTACTGCATTAATTCATAACAGTAGCAAAGTTACAATTTGAAGTAGCAACAAAATTAATTTTATGGTTGGGGGTCACTGCAACATGAGGAACTGTATTAAAGGGTGGTGGCATTCAGAATGTTAAGAACCACTAAGCTAGCACACTGGAGGAAGGCCAGGCTCCTATAATTTGCTCCCTTCTCCTCTACTGTGAGCTTATCCTTTACTGTGACTATCAGAGGAGGAAGAGTGGAAACCATACCACTTTCCCTTTCTCCCTACCCTTTGCATCAACTCCAGCTCTCTTCCAAAAAGAAAATGCAAGCTGCTGGTGGGGATCAGGCTTCCTTTTCAACTGTCTAGGCTTTCCTTGCTAGTTCATTTGCCTAATTAACTAAACTTAATGAATGAGTCTGGCTAAACAGGAATGCCAGTCTGAATTAGTGAAAGACTGAATTTTAAACATCCAAGAGGTACAACAGTCACTTTGAATATACTTGCTGTGAGTCTGAATTCAGCTTATAAAAGTATTCACTTTCACAAAATTAATGCAATAAGGAGCTGGAGAAATGTCCCAGCAGTTAGGAGCAGGACCCAAGTTTGGTTCCCAACTCCCAGGTCAGGCAGCTCGCAACACTGTGTAACTCCAGCTCCATGGGATCAGAAACCTCTGGGACACCTGCACCTACAGACAGACAGACAGACAGACAGACAGACAGACAGACAGACACACACACACATAATATATATATATATATAACATATACATAACATGTATATATAACATATACATATATATGTATATATGTAATTACAAATAACACAAAGTGTGGTGTCATTTAAAGAAATAGCAGGTAAACATGGCTCTAGTGGTATTATTTATGCTATAATCACTGTAACAAGAATGAGAAGATCCCTGATTGCAGCCCAGGCAAATACTTGCCATTGACATTAATAGAAAGGTTTCACTGTGACCACCCTTCCTGTTTCTGTGTGTTTCTCATTCTAAATCTCACGTATAGCTGAGTGACAGCCATGCTGCCTAAGGAATAGGTATTGTTTAAATGCTTTTTTCTTGGAAGTGTGATCCATCTTTACTTTCTGCCTGCTTTATAATTTAGTCATCAATTCAAGACATGAACTTTATAGATCTAATTTACAAAAACTCCAGTCTAGAGAAAACCTATTAGGATTGGCAAACACTATGCCAGACGTAGTACTTCCTGGTAGAGTTTGTCTTCCATCAGCTTTTCCCTATGGATATATGGTTATAAAAATTTATCCCTAAGGCATCAAACCATAAAACAGGATTATTCCTTAACAGAGTCAGAGGAGAGCAAATGCAGAAGCAACAGCCCTGCAGGGCAATTGTTTCCTAGGATGAGATTGTGTGTGTGTGTATGTGTGTGGTGTGTGTGTGTACTTTTCATAGATTTCTTCCCCAGTTTTACAGGTAAGTGTAACTGTGCTTAAGGAATATTTTACTTTTGTGACTCTTTAATGAGGACTGAAACTGAAGCAAGGATCCAAGGCTTGCAGGAAGGCTTCCTCCACCCCCATCAGGTAGAACACGTGTTCCAGGGAGGCTTTTCTCCTCCTCTGTCTTGCCACTCTCTGGTAACTTGCTCTGTTTTGAATGAAGAGGCTCTCCCCTCCCGCTCCTCCCCCACACCTGGTACTGCCTGTCTTCAGAGGCTTTGATGACACTCAGCACTGGTATGAGGAGTTGGAGAGGAACCAGATCAGAAGAGTGGCTTAGGGTTGGAGGGATGAGAGAGAGGAGACACACTTTCTGCCTTCTGTGAAGCCTTGCCAAACCACTGCTCCTCCTCTCTCAGGTAAAACCCTGTCCTTGGGATCATCTACTCCCCAACTCCTTTATCTCATGGTCTTTTCCCTTAAGCCCATCTTTTCCTGGCTCTTTAATCCTGTCCTTGTTTCTCAAGCAGTGTGCTCCGAATTCTACCCTCTTTCTCCTCATTGACATGTGGCTCACAATACATGGACTTTATTTTGTTTTTGTTTTTATTTTGGTTTGGTTTTCTGGAGACAGGGTTTCTCTGTGTAGCTCTACCTGTCCTGGAACTCTGTAGCCCAGGCTAGCCTTGAACTCACAGAAATCCATCTGCCTCTGCCTCCTAAGTGCTGGGATTAAAGACGTGCACACCACTGCATGGCTATATTTTGAAATTTTAATAATCCTTATCTTTATCCTCCTCATTCTCTTCTTCCCTTTTTCCTCTGCCTAGAGTTTGGATTTGGGCTATCTCCAAAGGCCCAGGGGCTCTCAGCTCAGTAAGTAGCATTACTAGAAAGAGATAGAAAATTTGGGAGCTGAGGGCTCCTATCTCCCCCCCCCCAACACCTCACCTAGAGCAGAGTGTCTTTGAGTCACATTCGTGCAGATTGCTCTGGAGGATAGAAGAGGGTGCTGGATCCTTAGGAACTGGAGTTACAGATGGCTTATGAGCCATCCATGGATGCTGGGAACTGAACCCTGGTCCTCTGCAAGAGCAGAGAGGGCTCTACTCTGGCCCTTCTCTCCTTTCTTTAAGAGGGCCTTGCACATGAATGTCTGCACATTGCTTAGATCTGGCATGCCTTTTTTTTATCTCTCAGCCACTCACATCAACAAGGCTCAGTCTGCACCCTGTGCTCTACTGATGCCCTCATCAGTACTTGGTGAACAAACCAGATGGACACTTCCTGTCCTTTCTT